AATTTTACTGAATTTTCAGTTTTAGTTACCATGGCAACGTCAATCAACACACTCAAAAACACGAAACTGATAATAGTATATGCCAGTATAGTCTACTTGCATGCCAAATTATATTACAATCTGACTAAAACTGTAAGAGCAGTAGCATTTTGAATGAATTTCACAGAAATTTCTATTTTAGTATTAATAGTAACAACGGCAACACCATTGATCGAAATCAAATACCTATATCTTTAAGTGTAGTCTACATGTGAGCTAAGTTAATTAGAAATCAGACAAAAAGTGTTGGATAAGTAGAATTTTATTACATTATTTCCATCTTTAGTAACTAAGGCAGAAATAAAAAAAAACTATGCAGAACTTAAGTATCTTTGTGTGCTAAGTTATACTGAAATCAGACCAAAGGAGTAGTAACATTTAATTTTCTTTTACAGATAGACGGACAGACAGACAGGCAAATATACTACAAAATGAAGTATGCGTCATTAAGAATTTTACAAACATAAGCTTCATCAACTTCATTCGACATGGTTTTTCATAATTTGACAATTAAATACATGTACTGGTTTTCAAAATGGATTCTAAAATAATCGTGCCACAGAAATGTATTCAAGTAAAACTGATAACAAATGAAGGATGAATGAACCTTTTCTCAAAATAATATATTATTCGATGTACTGCATTCATTTGTATTCCTTGTGTTTAATAAACTTAAACATAAATAGTCAATATTGATGCCTCTCTTTAAATATCTCAAATCTGGAGAAAAGAAGCAGATTAAAAATACAGTTATAGTGAAAATTATAAATTTATTTTTCGATAAGTATATCTGAAGTACAGTGGTATATTTAGGACATGCAATTATTTTTTTTTTAAATATCAGAAAAAAACTAGATGCTGTCATGAGACAGTAATACCCGCACTATGGTGTTTGCCTCTCAATATACACTCATTCATATTGGACTTTCCAAGGAAGAAGTCAAAATAATTCTATAATTGTATTCGTCAAATTGAACATAAAATTTTCAGATGACCATATCAACTCTGAGCCTCACATATGTATTTTAAAATACTTAATTCATAACCAGTCTGAAATAACAGAATTTAATTAATGATTGAAGTAAATTACTTACTTAGATTCAAAAAAATAATTTTCCCATGATTTGGAACTTTTTTAATTTACTTTCTCAACGACATAAAATATTATTTTAGTACAACGCGTTTTTGATGAATTTATCAAAATGTGCAAACTGATTTTAGTATTTGGTCGGGAAAAAAACCCATTGAAAATACAACCCGATTAATTTGTCAATGCCTATCTCTCCCCCCCCCCCCCCCCACACACACACACTCTCACTCACTCTCACATTTTTTTAAAAAACATAGTTTAGTTTATTATGATAGTTTGAAATTTGTTCTTGTACTAAACAGTTTTATTTTCTACATTCACATTGGGTTTGCGTCACCCATTATCATATTTATAGATATCACCTCTCGGCACACCTCGGCCAATTCATACTGGCAACGGAATCAGCAAAGGTTTGTCGAATGAGATTGTTTAGCACATGTATGCTGACGTGCAGTGTGGTCAGTTAAAATCATTTGTGATTTAATTGGATTATATGGATTATATTTCATGAATTCGTTGTCACGACCTATGACATTTTGTAAGTACAAAATTTAGTATAGATTGCATAAAAATAAATAAATGCAAATGGTTAGGTTGAAGTTCAAAAAGGGTCAACATGGTCAAAGATCATCGCAAGCCACAGTCGACAAATTTCACATTGTCAAGTTATCTCCCGTTGCGGACATTCAGTATATAACAGACGCAGATCCAGAATTTTTTTTTCAGAAAGGGGGGGGGGGGGGGTTGTCACACCTCAGTCAAAAAAATCAGCCCAAGATTTCCTGAGATGGAAATAAAAAAATAATAATAAAAAACAATGATGGTGGAGTCCCTGTTTTTCTAAGGGGGAGGATGTCCAAAGTCATTTTTATTCTCTACAGTACATATATAGTCTTATTTAAATAACTGCTAATTCCAGGGGGGTTCTGATCTCCCTAGCCACTGACTCCCTGTACCTGAAATGACAATTGATCTTATGACTCCATAATAGTAGAAAATTTTTTCAATTGACTATTTATACATATTTTGTTTCCTATGTTTATGTATTTTTGTCTGTCCACGGAAACTTTAACCAGTTGCCCATATTTTTTAAGTGGATTGGGCTATACACATCATGGCTTCAATATTTCATAGGTAAATTTCTTTTGGCAAAACCTTTTAATGGGTACCACCAATTTTGACCTCTTGATCTCTTGACCTTGGAGTTTGACCCAATTTTACAAGAAAAATACCTTGAACTTGGCGTAAGTTTTGAACAGGTGGTGCTAGGACTTTCATGCTCTTACATGTGTAATCATTGTGAACTTTCAACAGGTATACTTATTTTTGACCTAGACCTTAGAGTTGAATCCAATTTAACTTTAACCTTGGCAATAACTTTGAACAGGTGAGGAAGTTCTAGGGATTTCTCCCTTTTTTCACATGTGTATTCCTTGTGACAAGACTTTCCCTTTGATACCAACAATTTAGACCCTTTGACCTTGACCTTTGAGTTTGACTTACATTTGAGAAACTTCAACCTTTGCCAAAAGCTGCCATAACAGTTGCTGTCACAACAAACAAACAAATTACTAAAAAAAAACCAGAATACATGTACATGTACATATTTTATATTCAACAGATATACATCTGGTCATATCTCTAGTTCTCCCTTGAATGAGACATGGTGATATAAATTTTAAAAAATAATTTTATAAGAGTTGAAAAGGTTGTGCATATTGAAATATACTAAGCTCTGCGGATGAATTAGATATACCAGTTTAGCTTTATTTTGCTACCCAAAGCACCTTGATTAACTATTTATAAGCATACTTTTTCTGAAATGTACTGATTTCTGTTGTCCATCTGTTTATCTGCAAACTTTTCACATTAACTTCTTAAGAACCACTGGGCTAATTTCAACCAATTTACATTTAAATATGCAGGGTACTTTTCAACCGCCCAGATCGATAGATCCCGGGCGTATATTGTTTTTGTCCTGTCTGTTTGTCTGTTTATCTGTTTGTCTGTTTGTCAACTTTAACCTTGGCCATAACTTTTGAACAATAAGGGATAGAGACTTCATATTTGGTAAGCATACTCCACTTATAAAGTCCTTTCAAATGACTTCAAGGTCAATTACCTTGTGACCTTGACTAAGACTTAAATGCTAAAAATAGCTTTTTCCACTGTTTGTCATAACTTTTGAAACATAGCAGATAGGGACTTCATATTTGGTATGCATACTCTACTAATAGAGTCCCTCCAAATGACATCAAGGTCAATGATCTTGTGACCTTAACTGTGACCTATATGCTAAAAATAGCTTTTTACACTTTTTGCCAGAACTTTTGAACCATCAGAGATAAGGACTTCATATTTGGTATGCATACTCCACCGATTAAGTTCTTTCAAATGACACCATGGTCAATGATGTTGTGACCTTGACTGTGACCTATATTCTAAAAATAGCTTTTTACACTTTCTGCCATAACTTTTGAACCATCAGAGATAAGGACCTCATATTTGGTATGCATACTCCACCGATTAAGTTCTTTCAAATGACACCATGGTCAATGATCTTGTAACCTTGACTGTGACCTATATTCTAAAAATAGCTTTTTCCACTGTTTTTCATAACTTTTGAACCATAGGAGATAGGAACTTCATATTTGGTATGCATACTCCACCGATAAAGTCCTTTCAAACGACGGCAAGGTCAATGATCTTATGACCTTGACTGTGACGGATATGCTAAAAATAGCTCTTTACACTTTTTGCCACAACTTTTGAAGGGAGCCAGTCAAAGCGTTCCCAATTAAAACCGTCCCGGTCAAAGCGTTCCCTGATTTTGGTCAAAGCGTACCATGATTTTGGTCAAAATGTCCCCAGATTTTGGTCAAAGCGCCCCCTGACATATTTTAAAGAAATATGGTACTACGAAACCGTCCCCTGATTTTGGTCAAAGCGTCCCCTGACATATTTTTATAGAAAAACGAAGTTTCCAAAGCGCCCCCTGATTTTGGTCAAACCGTCCCCTGACATATTTTTATAAAAAAACGAAGTTTCCAAAGCGCCCCTTGATTTTGGTCAAAGTGCCCCCTGATTTTGGTCAAAACGCCCCCTGATTTTGGTCAAAGCGCCCCTTGATTTTGGTCAAAGCGTCCCCTGATTTTGGTCAAAGCGTCCCCTGACATATTTTTATAGAAAAACGAAGTTTCCAAAGCGCCCCCTGATTTTGGTCAAAGCGTCCCCTGACATATCTTTATAGAAAGTGAAGTTTCCAAATTGAGCCCAAATATTGGTCAAAGCGCCCCCTGATTTTGGTCAAAGCGCCCCATGACATATTTTTATAGAAAGCGAAGTTTCCGAACCGCCCCCAAATATTGGTCAAAGCGCCCCCAAATTTTCGTCAAAGTTCCCCCTGACATATTTTTAAATAGAAAAACAACGTTCAACTTTGAAGTTTGGTTAAAGTGCCCGCGAAGTTTCCAAACCTCCCCCAAATATTGGTCAAAGCGCCCCCAAATTTTGGTCAAAGTGCCCCCTCACATATTTTTAAATAGAAAAACAACGTTTGCAGTTTGGTTAAAGCGCCCCCAAATATTGGTCAAAGCGCCCCCTGACATATTGTTCAACAGAAAAACAACGTTTGGTCAAAGCGCTCCCAAATTTTCAAAGCGCCTCCAAATCAATTTTTAAACGGAATTTGCTGTTATATGTATATTTTTTTCCTGACGTCCCAGAGTCAAATTATGATAGCTCATTTTTAAAATAAATGTTGATGCTCACATACACATATTTATATTCTTTAACCTTCTTTTCAACACTACAGGGCCCGGTTGTTCAAAAGATGGTTAAATTTAACACAGTGGTTTCTCTGTGTTAAATAATGTGTTAAATTTAACCACATGGTTAACTGTTGTTCAAAATTGTGTTTGTGTTAACAAGGTGTTAAATCTGTGTTAAATTTAATCCACCTACGGTAGGTAGATTAAGAAGTTAACACCGTGATTAAATATGGCCGCCAACTTTCTAAATCACCCGCCTGGACCCAGAAAACAGCGCGTTTTCCGACTCCACACAAATTTAGAGGGTTGGACTGATGCTGAACTAAGAAGAAGGTACCGCTTTGGTCACCATGGCATTAATTTTATTGGCGATGTAATTAAAAATGACTTGGAAAGAGCCACCAATAGGAACGGTGCGCTTAGCGTCCAACATCAGGTTATGATTACCTTGCGCTACCTTGCAAGTGGCAGCTTTTTGCAGGTTGTCGGGGACACTCTAGGTACAATTAAATAACTACAGAACACAAACTACATAACTTTAAAAAAAATAAACTCAAGTTGAAAATTTATTATTAAAGTTCAAGTAAAATAAAAACGACATAGTGTTTTGAAAACTTTGTGTTTATATACTGCATGATTAAGCGTAACACGCTGATTAAATAGTCTGTCCATATAGAAAAAATATACAAGTTATTCAAATTTGAACAGGGTTTGACAAAAGCACAGTATCCCGCACCATTAAGATAGTCACCGAAGCACTGGTTGCGAGAGCTGACACATTTATTCAATGGCCTGACGCAACAACAAAATCTAGCATCAAAACAGGGTTTTACCGGCTAGCAGGTTTCCCCAATGTAGTCGGATGCATCGATGGGACTCATGTTCGGATCCAGGCCCCATCACATGACGAAAATTCTTTCGTAAATCGGAAAGGATACCACAGTATCCAAGCTGTATGTGACCACGATGGTAGGAATATAACTGACTTTTTTCAGGCCCCTTGTATCATTTTCGTTCGATGGGGTTTTAGAACATGTACTAATACTTCGTAATTTCTACATATATTGAATTAATAGGTTTTTCACACATCCTTTAACAACCCCTCTTCCAAAATTATCGTAATATAGTTGTGTATTCATTGTGTAAACGATTTTTTAAAATGATCTATGCATGTCATGCAGATTAACCTCCCCTTCGAAAAATAATGTGGCGGATCCATCTACTGAGTATTCATTTTATAGCAAGTACCCGTTATAAAACATTGATCAGTGCATTGCCACACAAGAGTAATGCATGTACAAGAAAAATTAATTCATGTGGTAAATAAAAATCGGAAAAGAGATTGATCTGAAGATATACAGTGTAGTTGAAAATATTAAAAATAATTTTAAAAAAATTGTCCAATATTTATTTTTTTTTTATGAATCTGATATTGAATGATATACGGTCATACATTATGAATTTTCCATATGTATTTGCAATTTGTTATTGAATATACATAATTGAATCTATTACATTGCATGTAATGTCCTCCTCAGTTATATTGAATATTAAATAATGCACCAGTTGCCCCCCCCCCCAAGCCCCCCACCCCCCATCCCCTCATAGAAAGTGCATGTGTGTTTTAAATCAGTTCAATAATGGTACAATTTAAGTAATAATCAATTACTAGTCTTGATTAACTATAACGGCTACTTAACTACATCTATTACAGGAAAAGTTACAAATATCAATGCATCATGGCCTGGATCTGTACATGATTCCCACATCTTCAGAACATCACAGGTAAGCTACAATTTGATAATATTTAAATAATTTTTAAAGAGTGTTGATCGCATGCAACATGCACATATTCGATCCCTCTCTCTCATCTTCTAACTTCCATTCTCTCATGAGGGCATTTTATACCCATTTCATGATCTTAATTAATATTGAAATAATTAAATTTTATCTCAATTAAATATTTCTTTAAATCTATTATATTCACAACAAATGTATTGAGAGTATATTATAAATAAGGATTTGTAAGTTGACTTGGAAATGTATTTGTCAGATTAGAACATATTTGGAAGAGGAAGAAAATGGCCTATTTGAAAATGGAGTTTTGCTAGGAGATAGTGGATATGCTTGCCGACCATTTCTTTTAACTCCTTATGCCAATCCCCAGACTGAACCTGAGGAGAAGTACAATCAAGCCCATGCAAGAACAAGAAGTGAAATTGAGCGCACCTTTGGGCGGCTCAAACGGAGGTTTCATGTTCTACACTCAGAGGTATGTTTTTATATATACAATCAAAATTTTTTTTTTGACAAAATTTAATACATGTAGTGCTATTTACAGTAAAACAGTTTTCTGATCACATTTTGTCTGACCACAATGGGGAATCAAAGTTTTACAATCAAAGCATCCTGTGGTAGCTAGTGTAGATTTCAAATTGTCTAAATTATGATTAGTTGGGTAAGGTGGGGTCACAAAATGTATAACAAGGATGAAATCTGGTAAAGAACGTAATTGTCAAAGCTTCTCAGGTGAGCGAAGTGGCCCATGGGCCTCTTGTTTTTTCATGCTTAAAAATGCAGGTAAATTTACACTTTCAGTGCATTGTGATTGTAGATACGAATGAAGCCTGACAGGGCATGCAGAATCATCATAGCATGTGCTGTCCTCCACAACATCGCCATTAACCTTGGAGAGCCTGAGGATGAGGATGAAGTTGAGGAAGACCAGCCCCAGGTACCTGCATTTCAAGGCCAACAAGATGGAAGAGGGGTGCGGGACTATGTAACACAGCATTACTTTAGCTCATAATTAATTCTACCAATAATAATACTTAATATCATATCATTATAATTACCTCTTAGAAATGAAATATGATAAAAGTGTTGTATTGAAGCATGAAAAGTAGAAAATGAATGATTTCCTCTCCATTGAAATTAAAAAAATATTGCTACAATTACCAAATTTAAATTAGTCCATGGAAATTAGAGATTGATTCATTTAGTTGCATATTAGGAGTGATTTCATTGACCATTGTTTTTGTTTACTTCACTTCATTAATTGATTAAAATCAACAGGAGATAACTCTTCAAGGTCATCCTATTAGGGTGCACATATGAATTAATGGCTATTATGCCTGGATTACATGTACCTTAAATGAGAATGATAGGAAACTCTTTATGAAACATTTTAATTTATAAGCAATTAAATTCTATCAGTTTAACAATATAGTACATACATGTCAACAAAGATAAAATAGATATCTTGAATATAATTTTATGTTGATTTAACAACAAACACTGGTAACGAGTAACTTTTAAATCAAAATATCACATTATAGTTAATGTGTTCTAAAATAATTAAAATTTACAGACATTCATACACTGAAACAGATTTTAGCACACTCCATAACAATCATAACAGTTACTGGTATTAAACTGTAAGTAACAGTTAATTAACAAACAAGAAAATTCAGAAAATTATATTGTCCCCATTTCTGA